CAGCAAGCTCCTACAGCTCGCTCACTTGGGAGGCATAATTCTCATTGGAACGCAGGGCGATCTCCAGCGACTTATGGACCCTCGCGAGGTCCCCCCTCGCTGGTCGAAGATCGGCCCCCTGCATTTTTGATTCACCAAGAGCAGTGCTTAGAACCTTGTTCTCCTCCTTCAAGGCCTTGTTCTCCTCCCTCAAAGGTTGAACTCGGCTCCTCAGCCTAACTAGGCCCTCCTGCTGCTTGGACCACTTATGCTTCCAGTGGTTCACAATCGCCATTGTCCTCTGTAGAAAGCCCTGGGCGGCGTCAAAGCCTTCCACGGGCCCGACCTCGTCTATCAGCCCCTGGTCGCCCGAACTCAACGAACCTTTGGGGAAGAACTTCTCGGCAGTCACCCCCGCGCTCCACAGTGAATTCATATCAGCAGAGGCACTCACATGGTCCAGTTGCACCTGCGAGCGGCCCTTCCCGAAGCGGTGAGCTATATATTGACTCCGGGAAGCCCCCTACGATGAACCAGACGCCGGCGCTGAAGCTGCAGGCGTAGCTGTGGGGACCTCGAAACTCGGCCCCTTGCCGCGAGTCTCGACAGAGGGAGAAACAGGCATCCCTTGCTCGGCAATGGGAGGGTCCACGTCTGGCACCTCTGACCTCGGGGGCACCTGAGCCTCAGCAGCGTCCCCTGCCTGCAAAAATCGGCCCCATGTTAAAAAACAAAAGAACTGCATACAAGATAGAGGGAAAGACGAAAAATGAGGCACTCACCATGGTGGCCTGGGCGACTTCCTCAGCAACCTGAGCCCCCACCTCGGCAGCTATCCCAACCTGCAAAAAGCGATAGCGCCTCAATACACCAAGCAAAATCAACATAGAAGAAAAGCTAAAGAAAACAAGACACTTACCTCGGCAGAGGGAGCAACTTGCTCAACAGTCGCCGCGACGACCATTTGGGGAGCCTCCCCAGGAGGACTCCCAGTAAGGTCAACCGCGTCGGCGTCAGCAGCCTTAGAAGTCACCTCCTTCGTGCCACGAGGGGCAGAGGTCCCCCCGACCTCTTTCTCGCCCCTTTTTCTTTTTCGGTTAATCTTCAGGGGGAAAATCTCCTCCTCTTGAGGCTCGGGGACCTCGATCTCGGCAACGTTGTAGCGGTGTTTCACCTCACCCCCCTTGGTCCTGCCCGTTATACCTACCCGCACAAAAAACAAAGCACATCAGCAAAAGAGGATCTCACAAACCCTAACAATCTAAAGAGGACGAGATACTCACTCTCCAGGCCCCTCTCCTTGTACGCCGAATTCGCAAGCGACAAGACGAGCTTGCAATCTAGCGGGCGAGGAAGCGCTGCAAGACTTTCAATGGTGGCCGCCTCCGAAGTCGTCAATTTCAATTGGCCCACCCCGTGAAACCTAGACGGTTTGGGGCACCAATAGAAGGGGAATTTCGACAGCCCGCCGAAATAGAATGCCTCGTCCTCCAACGGGTCGACGTCCACAAGAGCAACCCGGAAAAACTCTTGTTTAAAATTTTTGTATGATTGGGAGTAAAGAGTGAATAAACCTCCATCCCTACTCCCATTCAGAGACAGTATGTCGTAAGGCGGAACGCCTATCTTCAGCTGGTAGAAATGAAAAAAGACGGGAAGAGACACCTCTATCCCTAAAGCTGAACACAAGACCTGAAAAGCCCTCAGAAAACCCCAACTGTTTGGGTGCAACTGGCAAGGAGCCGAGTTGATAAAATTCAAAAAATTGCACTCGAATTGAGTGAAGGGAAGGAAGACACCTAAATCCCTAAAGAAGCATTGGAAGACATAGAAATGGGGAGGGTCAGTAGACTTCCCCATGTACACGCTCTCTCCGGCCCGACAAGGCTCAAGCCGGATCATTCGGGAGATGGAAGGGTCACAAATTCTATACGATTTCCAAATCGCATTGACCTCAATAAAAGATCGGAACACACTCTGGGCTTCACCCATCTCACGCCGAACCCAATCGTACCCAGGAATGCCTGGAAGCGGCCGTTCCGGTAGCCACCGCCTTGCCCCGCGCCCTACCTTTGCCCTGGGCAGGCGCGGAGGATCCAGCACCACCCTTTCCAACCATCAAGAAAGAAAGAAGATTTGACAAGAAGGAGAAAGAAGATTACAGAAAGGAAGTATCTAGTACTCTCCCTCATAAAACAACCTTAACGACAACTGGGTTACCGGAAACGAGAACCGGAATAGCAAGAGCCAAAACCCAGGGAGCAGCGTGCGCAAGGAGCTAAGGAAGAAGAAGAAACGAAAAGAGTAAAGTGAATGAAGAGGCGCGAGAGAAAGAGAAAAAAAGACTCCCTAAATTCAAACGGTCATGCCATGTGTCGGAGAGAGAAAGCATAACTGGCGACTCATTTAATGAGCCCCACTATGGCAAGCACGACCATCATTACATAACCGCCACTCCTCAGTAACGCGCCCCCACACGTTCTCAAGAACGAAGCGACAAATATGACACATGGCACCTTGGCAGGCAGGCGTACGTGAAAGGTCACTGCTCCCTGACGAGCTCGGTCTTAAACTCCTCGACCCACGGTCTTCTGAGCTCGGGGGGCTAGTGTACTATCTGTACTGCCATGCCGAGCTCGAGCTCGGCATCGCTGCGTGGAATGACCTCGGAACATGCATTTGGAGACCTCGGTCTAAACGAGATCCGCAATCCAACCAGATCATAACTGATCTCAGGAGATCTCAGTCCATACGAGATCCGCTATCTAATTAGATCATAACTGATCTCAGGCCCAAGGCCCAACGCAACCCTAATTCACACTAAGGTATGTGCATTATTTATACGAGACTTATACTCATACAAACCCTAACTTTAGCATCAGAGTCTCTTTTGCAGGTACCACCCCCATCTTGGAACATCAAGCGTACCAGCGAAGGAGGCTCACCAACCTTACCTAGTGGATCAACTCTACCTCAGATCCCCGGTAAGAACAATTACTAAAAAAAATAGACAAAAAGAATCACATCACATTTTTTTTTATAAATTAAGGAATCAAGTTGAACCTTATAATAATAGAGAGATAATAATTAATTTAATAATATAAAAATTAAAAGAGTAATTTAGTCAAAAAATAATTATCATTAAATACTTAAAAAATATACTTAATTTGTCTTTTTATGTACTCTTTCTCAATTTCTATATATAAAAAAATGCTTAATTTTTTTGGGCTAAAATATAAAGAAATTTTAATTAAATTAACTTCATTTAATGTTTTTAATCCAAAAATACTCTTAATATAATAAATGAGAGCATTATTTACTATATATATGATTATGGGTATTTTAGAAATGTAATATATATTTTATGTGAAATTATGAAAAATAAATATATTTAATTAACTTTTTTAATCTATATGAAATTAATTATATATATATATATATATAGAGGTGTGGAGGGAGTAACAGATCGAAATATTATATTAATGATAATTATAGAAGTATGATTCATTAAATTTGATACACAATGATTGTGAACCGAATTTAAAATAAAAATTAAAAAGAATGTTGAAAAAATTAAATTAATATTATATTTATTTCCATGCATCACGAGTAGTTTAAACAAGTTTGCATATGCGAGCTATCATGAATACTGTACAGGTAAGGGTGTTCGGCCACCACATAACCGAAGTTCTATCGGCCACCGAAAGGTGGAATCTGGTGGCCAACACCCAATCGGCCACCAGGATCGGCTTACACTCAATTATTACTCTTAATCAATAATTAGGGGTTAATTACACCGATAAATTGATTAGGGCGTATTACCTAATACGGTAAGCAGGTTGCAGGGTCCATGGGGTTCAGGGTCCATAAATGTCAGTATAAATGACTCATGTTACAAGGTAACGTCACTGTTCATTAATTACCATCGATATTCGTGTTTATCCTGACTTGAGCGTTGAAGTGTCTTTTGCAGGTACCAACCCCTTCACCAGAATATTCGATCGGAACACTCGTTCGACTTTCAGAATACGAGAAGATTACTGGTGTATCCTTTCGACAAGTACAAATACGATCCTTTCCAAATTTGACACTCAGTCAAATAAATTGAGTTAAATTTTCCACCCAAAAAATTTTAAAAAATAAAAAAATATATATATGCCATATGTACATACAGATAATTTGAAATATTCAATTATTAGAGATTAGCCAAGTTGCATATTGTCAAAGATTTAAACTCTGTCAATTAGTTACCGCTAACAATAGAAACAAACCGTACACTTTAGCATTATAAACAAATTACACACTTAAAGCGTTCAACATTTGAAATTTAAAAATAACAAACGTTGTGAAATTAACAATAAATTTGTCAAGTGCAAATGCCTCCAAGACATTCCAAATCTATCGGGTCAAACTCCAAAAAAATTGCCAACTCTAAAAAACCTTAACTTTCTAACCCTACCATAGTGAGAGGAAGAGAAATATAGAAATGATAGGAGAATGTTATAATATTAATTAAGATCGACTGAAAAGTTGGGTTAGACTTTATAATTTATTTTTTATATATATCTAAGTGTTTATAAAAATAAAAAGTTTTATATATAATAATTGATTGGTGACATCAGATTTGATTAACTTTATCATCAAAATCCACCCAAACTTATTATATTTACATTTTTTTTTTAAAAATTGCACCCATCCGAAAATATACAAAAAAAAAAATTAAAAATTTTAAAAAATTATTAGGTCATTTTAACGTTGAGAAAATATTTTCCTTATCGCAATGAATACGTAAAATTCCAAATTGAAGGCAACATGAGCACTGACTCTGAAAGTGGTAAGCCGGCCCTAATTTGTCACTATGCAGTTGGAATCTCAGCTAATCAACTTCTTCCTTTGTCACTTTCCACTACGAATCTTAATTAATCAACAAACGGGCATCTTGTACGACCACAATTAAATTAAGTTAACCATAGGAATCATAGTTAATGAACCCATAAGCATCGTGATTCGTGACCAAACACAATTAAACTAAAACGATGTTGAAGTAGAAACAAACAAGGGACAAGAGACATGAGCGACCTCACATCCAACCTCTTCTTCCTCATCTTCACCTTCACCATCCTTTACGTGGCTTACACCTTCCCCAGGCTCCAACCAAAGCAAACCAACCTCGTATTCTACGTCCACGACCACTTCACCGGCGACCACGCCACCGCCGCCACCGTCGCCGGAAAGAGCGGCCCCGCCTCCAGCATCCTCCGCTTCGGCACCGTGGCAATCGTAGATGACCCCGTAACGGAGGGACCCGGCATGGAGTCAACGCTCATTGGTAGGGCCCAGGGCGTGTACGTAAATTCGCAGCTTGACGGAAAAGCCTTGTATATGGTTTTCTCTATCGTCTTCACCCACGGGGAGTTCAAAGGAAGCACCTTGGAGATTCAGGGATCTGATATCTTCGCCATGAAGGAACGGGAATTCGGAGTTGTGTCTGGCACCGGTTATTTCAGGTTTGTGAAAGGGTACGGGATTATGGAAACGGAGTTCATGGATCTACCTAATCTCAGGGCTACTCTTAAACTCAATGTAACGGTCAAGCATTATTAGAGAAAGAAACTTCTTCTCATTTCTCCTGTGTGATACATAAATATTAAATATGGTATACAGGCCATGCGATTATTATTATTATTTTATTAAAGATGCATATATTAACAGAGAAATGTTTTTATTTTTTGCAAACATTTTATAAATAAAAAAACGAAAGTATGGGCGCAAGAAAGCTGTGCCTAACCTTTTCTTAAAAATTTTGTAAGTTCTTTTATACTTCCTCACGATTTATATATAAGGAAAAAATGTTTAAATTTTTTAACTAAAAAATAAGTAAATTCTAATTAAATTAATTTTTTTAAATATTTTTAATTTAAAGATACTTATATGATACTTTTTTATTCTTTTTAATTTGTCAAATTTTTAGAAAATTTTTGTTCTTTATTTATTTATTATTTTCAAATTTTAAGATATTAATTATTATGTTATTAAATATATCCTTATATCTCACCTAAATTTTAATTAATTTACTAATGATAACTAATATGCATTTGTTATGAAGTTGAAATGAAAGAGAGTATAATAAAAAACATCAAAATATTGTTATATAGAAAATAGAAAATTGTATTATGTTTCTTAATTTGTGTAAAACAACCTTAAACAACTATTATAAATGAACAAAAATAGTAAAAAAAATAAGTGTATTATTTATTATGAATGTGGTTAAAAATATTTTAATAAATATAGTGTATATTCTATGCAACTATCTATCCTCACTCTTAGGGGGTTTTGGTAAGGAAAAAAAATCCAGAACTTATATTTTTGAGAATTATAAATTTTGTGCCACAATCCTAATGTCAAGAGAATGAGAACTCCTGGCTTTAAATCATGCCCGATTTAATATTAGTTTTTGCACTTATGTAGAAATTGATTTTCGTCCATTCCATCTAAAATCCAATCCAAGACTAACATGCAACACAACATCCAACATATATGTGTCCCAAACAACTCAAAATCAACTTAATAAAACACATGCAACCATCACTAACTACAAATCATCCAGTTCTCTTCAAACACTTTTAAGAACCAAACGTGTCTGCAATCCACTACTCATCTTAATTTGATCAAAACAATCAGACATAAATGAATTAAAACAACAAATCACCAACTACAACACAACAATCAACAAATCACTAGTTTTTCTTATCTTTAGTCGATCCGGACCGAGAAGAAGAGAATAAAAGGAAAAAATTGTACAACTCTGACTTGGTGTTCTTGACTCCGTAAGTTATGAATCACCACACAATTCCACTTCAATCAGTTGTTGGAAGAGTAGGAGATGAATCAAGGAATGAGGATTTGAAAGGGACTTTCTTAAATTATAAAGACCTTCTCTTTAACTTCTCTCTAATTTCCTTAAAACATGAAATTATGAGATTTGTGTCTTAAGAAATTTTTTATATATTCTTATTCCAATTAACTAAACAAACAAACTAAAGCTGATTCAGGGACATCTTAACCCTCAAGGGCCCCTTAGTCACAAGAGTTCTAAAGCAATAGTATTAACAACAATAAGTAATTAATCATATATCGATCACATGTAATTAAATTAAACATCACAAAACCTATAATGGTACATTATAGATTATTATTACTATTATTATTATTATTATTATTATTATTATTATTATTATTATTATTATATGTTTTACTTGTACAATGAAATATAGAAAATATCATATATTATAAATTATATATAAACAAATATATACATGTATTACAAAGATACATTTTGTTATTTAAATATATAAAAATTATATAAACATAAACAAATATTTTTTTAATATCAAATGTATGCGTTCGTCTGTGTTTTAATTATGACACAATTTTTGTGCTTTTAATATATATATATATATATATATATATATGAAGAAAAAAATCTACAAAGATCGAATATCATATACGAATTAAAATTCATATTAAAATATTTTGGTATTTTTTTAATATTGATTATAAATTAATATACTTTTAGTATTATATTTACAACTTCAAATATATACCGGGCATAATATTACCATCTATATATATTTATCATTAAGTTAAATAACTATTTTCTCTTATTTAATAATGCAAATAAGAATTACATAGACATTAGTCATTGAGATATAAAATATATTTATAATATAATTTAAATTTAAATTAAGGACATCATAAAAATATATATGTAATAAATTTATCTTAACTTTACTACATATTTATAATTTTATTTTGTTTACAAAAGAAAAAGGAAAAAGATACCATGAAAAAATACAATAGACAAGCCTAGGTCTCTCTAAAAATCCTAGTCCCCGAGGATCTGCTACTAGATTATCTCTAAAATAATTAGGAGTTTCATACAATACTTCTAACTAGGGGTTAAAAAAGAGTCAATCTTAACTAGTAGGTCTGCACACTAATTTCCTTATCGGAACTGATGAACAACGACGTACTCTCAATTCTTTGCCTACAATTGTTTAATAAGGATAACCTCATTTGCAAATCTATGATAAAGTGCTACCTCATCCATCACCATATGTTAATCACCCACAACTAATTAGAATAGTAAATAATCGTTTGATACTTCCACGCGTCAACACAACTTAAACCTTCCAATAAAGCCATAACCCTCACATACAAGATATCCTCTCAAATTACCCTCTCATGAAAGTTAAAAAAAAAATGCTTTTCTTACCAATTTCGACCAAATCCCCATATTCAACCCTCCTAAGATTATATATATATAATCTCTCATGTACATATTTTTTAATTATATTTTATCTTCATAATTATTTTTAAATTACTCATTTTCTTATGATAAATTATTCATTATTTTGTAATTTATCGAGAACAATAAAGAGTAATTTATGAAGGAAGTGAGTTTGGATTGAAAGAATACATTTAGTTTCAGCGGTTTTACTTTTTAAAAAGTACACAAAAGAAAATTATTTTGCGCTAGTATATATATATATATATATATATATATATATATATATATATGTTAGAAATACTTGTCTAAAATTTAAGAAAACAATAACATTATCTGTAGTTAATGTTGCGAAAAAGAAAAACATTTTTCTACAAAGTAGCGTTGCATTGATATGTACGTGCTGCACAGATGCTAGGTGGGCTAAAAAAACAATAATGATGACGAAATTCGTGTGAACTTTTTTTTTTTTTTTTATAATAAAAATGTAAGAAACAGTAATACTAGAGCTTGTTACTACCAAAAAGATATTTCCGATCCAAACAACTCATTTAAGTTGTTTCATGCATTAAAAAATAAAAAAAGTGATCTATAGTATGCCGTATTAAGCAACTCAAACACAAATTTATACAAATGATAAGAAACTTTAAAAAATTTAACTTTTAGAATATTTTTTCTAATAATTTATGAACCAAAATTAAATTTTTTATTAAAAATGATAATTGCACTATGATGAAAGAAAATAAATTACTAGAAAAAATACACAATAAGTAGATATTAAAAAATAAAATAAAAAAATAGTAAATACATAAATATTATACGGAATTAATTTTCATTATTATTATTTTTGAAACGTTCTCAAATATATTCAATAAGATCAGCTTGAAATCGGGTAAGGAACGATTGCTTGAAGAAACAACTCTCTCTCTTCTCCAAGAGACTCATGTTACCACGTCAGAATCCTCCGATAACAAGAAACCGGAAGTTGAGTTGTTTCGTAGTACAAACAACTTATATCGGAGTTCCTCTAGTAACTACTCGGGGTCAGATTCACCGCGCATCTTATTCCAATCACTGCCTCCTTCTCTAAAGTCCGAACCAACCAACCAGCCCACTCCACTGCCAGTGCGGTTCCCCAAAAGAAGTAGAGCGAAAGAGAGAGAGGGAGAATATGAATGGGGGATTTCATTTAACCAATAAAACTGGTCATAATCGTGACTCGTGAGCTAACTACCCTCTGCCACGTGACCACTCTCATTTTCTTTCTCATTCCTTCGGTGTATAAAAAAACTTGCGCAACTCCACTCTAGCATAGCACATTAGCACCCATCCGAAATTCCAGTATTCTCACTCCATTCCACTCAATCTCAGATCTCCGCTGCGGGTTCCAATCCTCTCTCCTCTGTGAGTTCACGTTTTACTCGCTGCTCTCTATTGCGCCTCAATCTCATTTATCTCTTCGTTTTTGCTTTGCCGAATTTGAAAACTGAGAACCTGCACATTCACCAATCAGCATATCATCTCTATTAATGTTTAATTGGCATTGGAATTTCGTTCGATAGATCTATCTTGCGAGTTACGATAATCTCGTTCGATGAGCGTTAGCTTTTAGTTCTCTGAACTTAATGCGTAACGTCACGTCTGTCTTGTTGTGGTAGCTGTTAGGTTTGGTTTGGTTTTCAATCTCATTTACTCACTCCATTGACAAATTTGCTTACCGTGTTTCCTTTGTCCATAGTGCGGAATTTATTGATGTACTGTATTTGCATTTCGTTTTCCGTGGTTATTAGAGTGAGGGACGTGTGATGTCCTTTTTCGCTGAATGATTCGCTTAATTGCTTTTCTTGCTTTTCAAGTTTCAGAGGTTTCGCATTGTGGTTTGTTCTTTTCCTTTTTCGTGCGTGTGATGACTTCGTGATATGACACGTGGGTTTTTGCCATTCCTCTCGATGTGAATATGGTTGATCTGCTTATGTTTTTTCTTCACCGATTCATGTATATCTATGATTGTTTCTTAGCCTTAAGAGGCTTGTGGTTATTTATAATTTAAGTATCTTAAAGAATTTATCTTCCTCTTGCTGCCTAAAAATTAAAATTGTTGATTAATGTTGAATCCGGGGGACAGATTTCGATTTCTATAGGTGATTTTAGCTGATTAAGAGATATTTATTTATTTTATATGTGACTTTTGGTATGGTACAAAATATTCCTTTATGCTGTATCTCACTGCAATAAGAAAATGATGCACTAGCATGTTATCAGATCTATCAGTTTCTTGGCCATGGCCGCCGGACAACTCTTCTCCCGTACTACACAAGCTTTGTTTTACAACTACA